GGTATGCATGGACTCAATCCTTAAGTAAATCTTGGAGAGGCAGGATTTCCAGGATTTACCAGGATTCTGGGCTTATAGATGATTAGCATAGAAATGTTGGGATTTCCCCCAAATCATATAGCTAGTAGATAATAGAGCCTGAATTGAAATATGACAAAGTTTTTTTTCAACCATCAAGGACTGGATCTCATCAAGATTTCTACTCCAGCAGAAAAAATTTATTATTGTTTCCTCGAGTAGACCAATAGGAATTATGTTCAAATTTAGCCTCTCCATCTCTGCCTTCAGCTTAGGTCTCCCACCCGAAACAGCCTTTTCCTAAGATCCTCACCAGTACTTCTGTGCAAAGTACAATAAGTATTCACACTCTTCTACCATTCCAAAAACTCAATAATCTTTTAAAACTTCAATTTTTAAAATTTTCACATTTTGATGCACCAGGGATTTAGCCCAGGGCTTTCTACCCTTGGCCCCATATATTTCTCTTTTCATTTTTTTCTTATTCTTTCTCAACATAGTGAGGTAACATAACCTACAATAGTACTAATGCTAATGTTTAGCATACAATGTTATTGGATCATATCCCTGAACCACTTTTTCTAGATGCTTCTTATCACCGGCCCCTGGCAACTGCAGGTCTGTTGGCAGTGTCTTAGTGTTTATGTTCACTGGTCACAGCCTGTGCTCTTGATTTGTTTTCTTTATAATCCATATATTAGTAAAGTCTGATATTTGTCCTTATGACTCACTTCACTTAACAATATCCTCCAGTTCCAGCCAAGTCATAGCAAAAGGCAAGATTTCATCTCTTCTCATAGCTGAGTAGTATTCCATTGTGTAGTATGTGTGTGTTTGTGTGTGTGTGTGTGTCTCCTAATTTCTTTATTTTCTCATCTGTTCTTGGACATTTGAGTTTTCTAGATCTTGGTTATTGTAAATAATGATTAAATGAACATGTACGTGTGTATATATATATATATATATATATATATATATATTCAAAGTGCTGTTTTTATAGTCTGGCTAAATGCCTAGGCAAACACTAAATATTATTGTCTTCAACCAGAGAAGTAGTGCAGGGGGTAAGCTGCTTGCCTTGCATGCTGTCAACCCTGGTTTGGATCCCAGTACTGCTGTGATCCCCTGAGCACCATCTGGAGATGATGGTCACATGCTGTCCTGCATATTCACCACATAACTCTCCAGTGACCACGGAAACACAGACACAACACTGTTAGCTGATTTTCAGTCATTAAAAACATCCTTCATTTTTCATTTTGATGATGGAAAATTCAATTTTTTTTCACCTTGACTCAAGCACACATTTTTAACAGTCTACAGTCATCTTCCCCCTTAACTGTTCTTTACTAAAGATGAACGAAATAATGGTGAGGGAGGAAGCAGAGGAAAGACACAGTATTAGGATCCTCTACTGGGAGTTGGAGAAGATACGTTAATATGTATTTATTGAATAAGAAGTTCATCCACCCTGCCTCATTTTTTCTTTTTTTTGCTTAATGGGTCATACCCAGCGATGCACAGGGGCTACTCCTGGCTCATGCCCTCAGGAATTACTCCTGGAAGTGCTTGAGGGACCATCTGGGATGCTGAGAATCGAACTCAAGTCAGTTGCATGCAAGGCAAACGCCCTATGCGCTATGCTATCACTCCAGCCCCAACCACCCTGCCTCATGAAGCCATGTTTGGAGCAGCGGCACTTGCAGTTCATGCAGCCGGCAGGTACAGATGGGCTTACCCAGGTAGGCAGGCAGAGTCAGGACTTGACGGGTGGCTGCTGCCCTTGCTGAATTGGCCCACACGTCTCCCCCTGAAATGACATAACGTGTCTGTGTGAACTGAGAATGCTAAGAATAACAAGAGGGGTTTACACTGCCAATGGATGAGCCTGCCCCCTCCACACACCATACCCTTCTTAAGGGGGGATTGCATCTGGCCTGGAACCACCTCGAACACTAACAAGTAGCTTATAATTCATGTGTGCCTGGGAAGTGGTGTAGAAGAGAAAATGAATCCTTTTGCTTCACCGAGGAGGCCGTGTTGAGCTACGCAGTTGTTATTTCTCAGTCCCTTGGCACTTTCTTGTCAGATCTCTCTCCACTTGGTCTCTAACCGTTAGTTAGCATGGAGAACAGCATAGTCTGGCCACTGCCCTCTTCTTGATCTTTTCTAGCTCCACCTTGGCAAACTTCAACTACTAACTCTGAATATGGTGGTCCCCTGGCTCCCTTTCCCCTTCCTCCCTTTGTGAGGAGAAGCCCAAATTAACCCCAAACCTTGAACCCTTCCCTCTCTTCCAATCGTTCTCTTAAACGTTCTAGGGCTCCAGAACATTTCTTTCTCCGGCCTCCTGCCCCTCTTTGCTCAGCCTTCCTCTCTCAGAGCTCCATAATCCTCGCCCAAACTGACATGGCTCCCTGCAGTGACACTTCCCCCAGCAGCCTGCCACCACCCTATCCTGGGTCACAGCTGCAGGGATCATGCACACTTCTCTTGAGATGTTTGCAGTCTGTATCACATCATTTTCTCCTTAGTATCTCAAAGGGACTCTTTCAAATGTTTTTATGGGGATGGAGAGATAGTCCAGTGGGTAAGCGCTTGCCTTACACAAGGCCAACCTGGGTTCAACCTCCTGCATCCCATATGGTCCCCTGAGCACTGCCAGGAGTAATCCCTGAGTGCAGAGCCAGGAATAACCCATGAGCATCATTAGTGTGACTCCAAAACTAAAATAAAATTTAAAAAGTTATTTTCTGTGCCTCAAGGAAGACTGCTACTTACCTTAAAATAATTCTTAGGATTCGAGAGAGTACAGGGGATCAGATCTTGCATTTAGTCTACCCAGATTTGATCCTGGCACCACATATGGTCCCTTGAGCACTGCCAGGAGTGATCCCTGAGCACAGAGCCAAAAGTAAGCCCTGAGCACAGCCGGGTGTGACACAAAAACAAAAGTACAAAAAAAAAAAAAACCCAATTCTTAAATTAGTTGGAATTTAATTGAACATAATAATAATAATAATAATAATAATAATAATAAAAAGAACCACCCCAAGAATGCAGCTCTGTATTTCAATAAGTCAAGGATGGCTTCTCAGACACATTTGACTCCTGAGAAGTGACTGCATGAAACGAGGTGTCTGAGCTAGAATGTGGTACTATTTCCAGCGCTCAGATGAACCGCAACGCAGATGAGCAACTCCTGGGCCCACACGCGAGCCGGTGCCCTGGGCTGGGGCCGTCGCCACTCCCCAAGACTCTTCCTGGGGCTCATCTCTTTTGTGGTCTTTGCTCAGATGCCGGCGGCTCAGAAAACCTCCCTTCACCCCGTTCCAACCAGCAAAAACCCCACCCCTCACTTCCCATTGTTCCTCCGCCGATTTTTTTCTCAGAGCATAGAACACGCGCCAAGCATGCGAGTCCTTGCTGGGAGACCGCAAACTTCCACCCGACGCAGCTGTAGCAAGTCTGGCATCTAGTTCAGGCTGGCGCATTGTTTTCCGTGTGGGGTGCACCGGGTCACCTCCGGGTAGGCAAAGGTACGACCTGAGCAACCAGCAGGGGCCGGTGTCAGTGCTGTTTGATCGCGCCCCTTGCCCCCAACCTGCCTCGCTTACATCCAGAGTCTTGGCACAGGAGTTGGCATACAAACATTTATTGGCGCCCAACAAACATTTATTGGCCAAGGGGTGTGGGGAGCTCTGATAAACTAGCTCACTTGCTTAAGGCCACCTCAACTGGCCCAGGGAAAGGGAAGGGGGAAAATTCGCCTGACTGGGGGCTGGGGTTACTGGAAGGCGGGGGTGGCGTGGGTGGGGAAGGGCAGCTTTTGTCTAACAGGGTAGTTGAAGGCCAGATTTGTATTTTGGGGGAAGAGACCTTAATGGTAGGACGTTCCCGGGTTTCCCAGCACACAACACACTGCTTTGCACTGAGTATGACTACGGTCTGCATGCAACGTTCCAAGAAGCGTGCTGAATTGCAACGTGTCTCACACCTCGGCCACATCGGCCTCAGTTTCTCCGGGGGCACCGGCGGGCAGGTGTCCAGGGCTTCTCCGACAAGTGCCGTGAACCGGCGGTGCAAAGCACGCGCGCCCTCCGCAAAGGGCTTTTTCGGAACCGCAGGCTGCAGAGCTTTCTGGCCCCTTCAGCCCAAGGCGGTCGGGCTGTCACGGGCTGTCACGATCCCCTCACCCCCTCCCGCACCCCTCGCTTTTCGGGCCCCGGGACAATCTCTCCCGCGGGTGTGGCCGCCTCTAGCTGGACAGGAGGGAAAGGGAGGGGGCGAAGGAAGCCCTGGCAATCCGGCCCGCCAAAGCGCGCGGACGGCCGCAAGGGGTCCCCCCCCCCCGCCCCCCTGCACCCGCCCCAGCTCCCAGGCCCGCGGCCCGGCGGGGCGCGCGGGAGCGGGGGGCGCGCGGTGCCTCCTCGCGGGGCTGCGCGCGCGCGCCTGCCTCGTCTCCCTCGCCCGCTCGGGTGGCTACGTGCTTCCTTTGTCAATGAGGCGCCGCTCGCAGCTGCAGTAACACTCGCGGCCCGGGAGCCGGAGCGAGGAGCCCGCCGGAGAGCGCGCCCGAGAGGCAGCAGCCGGCGGCGGCCGGAGGGTCCCGAGCGCGCCCTGCGCCCGCCAGTCCGCCAGCCCGGCCCCGGGCTCCCCCCACGCCGCCGCCGCCTCGCCCCCCTGGGGTCTGCAGCAGCCGGCCTGCGGGGAGGGGGACCCCGGGCGGCGCCCGTCCCACCCTGCGCGGCCCCCGGCGCCGTGGGAACCCCGGCCGGCTCCCGCCGCGGCTCCATGCGCCGCCGTCCCCGGCGCCGGTGAAACCGCGGCCGCCGGTCCAGCCGCCCGGCACCCCCCGCATCCCGCTACCTCCGGCCCCCCGGCCCCGGCGGGAGATGCCCGGGGAGGAGCCGGGCGCCGAAGGCTGGGCTCCTCGGCGCGGTGCGCAGCGAGGCAGCGGCCTGGATGTGTGAAGCGTCCCCATGGCTCGGCAGGAGGCGAAGCCCCCGGGCCCGAGGGCCGCCGGGCGGGCAGCGGCGGGGCGCAGGCGCCGGAGCGGACAGCGCCGGCTCGGCCGGGCCGGCGGGAAAGCCGCGTGCAGCCCGGTAGTAGGATGCTCGGGGCCGGCGCGGGCTCCCCGCACCACCGCGTCTCGGAATGCGCCGCCGCCGCCGCCACCGCCGCCGCTGCTGCTGCTGGGACTCCTGCTGCTGGCGGCTCTCCCCGAACCCTGCCGGACCGCCCCGGGTAAGCGCTGGCGGCTGCGGAGCCCCTCGCGGAGCTGGGGGAGGCGCGGGGGGCCTCCCGTCCGGGCCGGTGCCGGGAGGTCTTTTGCACAGCACCCGCACCTGCATTTTCTCCGCCCTTTGCCGAGGCAGCGACCCGGGCAACTGTCAGAGCTCGGTCTCCCGGGAAGGCGCGGCGGGGCGGGGAAGTGGAGAGGTGCTTTCGCATCCTCTCTCAGGACAGGTTGCAGATGCGAGCCGACCGTCCCGCGGGCACGCTGCTTCTTTCCCATACCGACGTGGAGCATGCATGCGTGGGGTGTGTGTGTGTGTGTGTGTGTGTGTGTGTGTGTGTGTGTGTGTGAAACCTTACGAGGATGTGTCTTAGTAGGACACAGTTCAGGGTGGGGACGGCCACGCTATTTGGGGCTCCACTTTGTTTTAACTCCATGCGATGGCTGGAGACTTTTTTAGGTAGTTCTCGGTGCTGGCTTCCCAAATGATGTACCTCCCTACCTCCCCGCCCCTTCCCGCCTCCCACCCCCGCCCTTTTCTTTGGGGATTGAAGTATCTAAAATAATTGCTTGCATCTTGTAAATTAGGCATTGGTCTAATCCTCGGTTTTGCGGACGTTAGTTAAAAGTAATCACGCTTGGTTCTTAGACTCCCAGAAATCCCTTAAGAAAAAGATTTCTGTAATTCCTTAGGCGACTTGGGGAAATCGGTTGCAAGTATGGAGGTGGGTGGGGTGTTAGGGACTATTCTAATGTACTTAAAAACTTGCCCTGTGCCGTAGACAATCACCTTTGAAACAAGACTGGATATTCTGCCACTTGCAAAGGGCAGTATGCAATGAACTTCTGGACTCTCGGTACATTTAGTTTCTCAAGGAATATAACTCTTACTTTGTTCATACTATCTTGTGACTGAGAAATGTTTCCACACCTTTCCACCCCAGCCCCAGCCCTCTCTCTGCCCCGTCCCTCAAAATACATTAAATTTCCTAATTGTGACTACATTGCTAATAGATAAGACATCCCAGTTTACAAATATTTATTGTCTTCTTTCCATTCATTGAAAAGTGCCACTGACAGGGTGGTGTCCTTGCATGCTAAGTTGCTGTCAAGAATTTTCTATTATGATTATTGTGGTTACAAAGTGGGTACTATTTGGATATGTGCTTGAGACGTGAAAAAAGCCTCTGAGCAATGTTAAGCCTCGTTTGTTAAGCCCCTAGCAGTTTTTAGTACACACTGGTATAATTGTTAAAGGAAGTCATATAAATGCCTTAATATTTACCTGGGTCAGAGAAACACACTTTGTGAAGCAGATTCAGAATAACTTTTGCAAACTGTGTGCTGTACTAAGTTTTGGATACTGATTCTTTGAGGGCAGGTATCAAAACCTGTCCACTGATCTATCTACTATGTCAAAGTTGGGTTTTGTGTAGCACCTGCTCAGTCTGAATCTCTCTCTCTCTCTCTCTCCTGACCTTTATCCATTGGCGCTTCTGAACCTCAGTGGCTTTTCTTGGCTCTTTTCACACTGCTGGATCCTGACTCGGGGCTTTTCTCATCTCTACCTTTGGGTTTCTCCCTGGGTGTCCCCCTTCTTTTCTTTATGAGAGATCTTGGGGTGATGAGGGGAGGCTCTTTGATTTAAAATGGTGAAGGACCAGGTTGAGCACTCCAAAGGCTGGAGTGCATTCCTGGCACCACAAGGTCCTGAGTTCGATCCCTGGCACCACATAGCTCTTGGGCACCAGCAGGTAGAGCAGGACGTGGCCAGCACTGCACTGTCAGCTGCCCGGTGAATGGGAGTATCATCAGAAGTGGTCCCCCGTACCCCTGAGCTCAGCCTGAGAGGCCTCCCAAATAACAGGGAAATGCTGAGTATCATTGAAGTCAGCATTGCCCCTCAGAGTCCTGTCTTTTCCCCCTTCTCATTGGGGTGACCTGTTGCTTCCTCCCTCCTTTGGGTTGGGCGTGCCATTTCTGCCCTTTCCTCAAGATCCATTTCCCACCTGTGGCTCTAGGCAGCAGGGTCCCTTGTGGGTTTGCTGCTGATGACATTCGAGGGCTGTTTCTCTCTTCAGGGAAGAGTCAACTACCGGGGCTCCTTCCTGCCTTCGTTTTCATCTGCTCTTAGCTTTTGCATTTGTGGCAACTTTGGGTGGTGGTGAGGCTCATCCCAGCCATTGTGTTGGGTTTTGTCCCAAGGGGCTGGAATGAGGTTTCCAGGGTGAGGATGGAAAGAGGAGGCTGAACAACATTATGTCAGGCCCTGTGACTTGCAGGAATCAAACCTGCTTTTGAATTTTACCCTCAAGACAGCTGCTGTGTGGGGTGGCCACCCCTGGCTTGAGAGGCCACACAGATAACAATAAAAATGCCGGAGGTCAGAGTCCCGTCACTTAGCTTACTGCTGTTCCTTTCCCCACTCCCCTGTACCCCTATACTCAGTGAATCCAAATATCTGCTTTTTTGTTTTGTGCTGTCGTTGTTCAGCCTCTTTGGGTCCAAAGAGCTGGGGTTCCTTCTCTTTTCCACATCCATGAAAGTCAGCTGCCTCTAGCCTCCTCCCTCAGACACCCTCTCCAGGAAGCCTTGGAAAGCGATGTCTGTTTTTGGATATTTGAGGTTGGTGTGTGGTGGTGGGGAGACTTTTTTTCTAGCGTGGCTCTGACACCCTTCCCTCCCCCAAACCCCAATCCCTTCTGTCGTGGGGCTGCAGGCAAAATGGTCAAGTTGACATTTCACACTTCCGCCTTTTCCCTCCAGTGTGTGACAGTACCGTGGCCTGTTAGGTGCAGGGTTCATTCCCCTCGGGACCTCTGTTTCATCTGTGAAATGGACACAATAAGAGCTCCAGTCTCATTGGGTTGTTGTAAGGCTGAAATGGTGGAGTTTTTCAGATCAGGGCTGGGTGCACTGTCGTGGTCCAGGAATGTGGCAGATATTAGAGGAGAGCAGGGCTGCTTGTAGCCTGTCTGGGGTCTGTGCTGGGCCAGGGGGCATAGGCGAATGAGAAGGATAAAGGCAGTTGACAGGAGCCCCTCACAAGATGAGGCATGTGCACCCTGAACTGTGATCCTGGATGATCAGAGGCAATAAAATGAAGCGGTGGCTCATCCTGGGGGAGTGGGGACCTCGAGGAGTGAGGAGGTGTTGGAGGGCAGCTGGTGGCCTTTCAGGCAGAGCAAAGGCTGAGGGCGCTTTGTTCCAGGGCACAGAGTGCCGTAGGGAGGAGCAGCTAGACTTACTCACTGCCCTGTTACTCCTCTAACCCTCCCGAAAGGGTGCTCCATACCCCCCACCCTCTTCTGCTTTTCCTGCCGGCGTGTAAGTCTCCTCACACAGCATCGAGCAGGCACCTCATCCTTTTTCGGCCTTCATAGACTCCCATCTCCCTAGACTCAGCTTGGCTGATTCTCTCAGCTGTTGGAAGAATGATCTTTAAGTCATCGGCAGTAAGTTGTAAACGATGGCTTTGTTTCTGGAATAGATTCGCGTTCTGAAAGAAGGGTTTTGCTGATGTGATGTCAGGGACTCTAACTTAGCACACCATAAAGGGAAGTCCTTTTGACCTTGGGTGCTTTCCTAGCACCCTTGAAAACATCAGCAACTTGAAATCCTCTTTGGTAGAGGTGCAGCAGTTTCACTGTCCGCTCACCTCACCTACCCCAAGTGCCTTCATTTTCTGAAGTGGCAATGATGAGGGAAGACAAGCTCCCCTTCTTCTGGCCATTAGGTCCCAACCCAGTGCTTCCCAGACTCTCCCTGAGAATTACGAGAAGATCCTGTGCAGAGGCAGATCCTGGATTGGTGCATCTGGGATGAGGGTCTCCATTTCTAACAAGTGCCCTAGTGATACTCACTTAGATGGTGCGTTGACCCCACTTATGCCTGCAATATACTGTAAGCAGCTAAATGTAGAATGGACACGGGGAAGGGGAAAAATAAATAAGGGCAAAGGGGATAAAAACAATTTTGTGTGTGTGTGTGTGTGTGTGTGTGTGTGTGTATACGCACATGTGCACATGTGCCTCTCAGTTATAAACTCATTTATGGTTAGTGGTAGAGCAAGGATGAGATGACCTTTGAGTAGAAACCACCTGAGAGTGGATTTCTGTGAGTGGCTATTCCACACAACAGGAAAATTAAAATTACTTAAGGTTCGTGGAAACAACTGGGTGCCTGTGTGGAGCTGAGTGAACCAGGGGCAAGTAGTTAGGAGTACTGTTGAACAGGAAGCTGGGGACAGATTATATAGGATTTATTGACATAGTGGGCACTTGGTATTTTATTTTGAACTAGAGTAATCCAGAGGTGACATGCTGTGACTTCAATTTTGAAAGACTCTCTGTGGATATTGTGGATAGAAAAGATTATATGGTCAAGGGTGGAAGCCAGGAGATGGGGTAGGATGGGTTAGACCAGTAATTTCTGATCAAATACATGGACCTAGGCCCACCTACAGGAGTGAAAAAGTTGAAATCTATTAACTTAGATGGTGGTATAAGTGATTAGGATTTGGGACATCCTTTGAAGATAGAGCTAAAGGTATTTTCGGATGTAACAGAGGTGAGATGGGCGAGAAGGAGAGTTCTAAACACTTTGGTGAAAGCAGTTGGGAAGATGAAGTTACCATTAGTTGAGATGGGAAGGTTGTTGGAATCTCAGGATTGTGAAATAAAATAAAAACTTGGTTGACGTTTCTTCAGCTTGAAATGTTCACTAAAACTGAGATGTCTGTTGAACAAAGTAGTCTGAGTTCTGGGCAGCTATTAGAGGCAGAGATATACATTTGGAAACTGTCAGCGTAGAACTGGATAAGAAACCTAGAGAGTGTGTATAGAGAAAAGGAAGGCCTGAGCAATGAGTGTTGGGATACTGCAGCTTTTAGCGACCAGAGAGATGGGGGATAGCTAAGGAGCTGAGACATACTAGGCAAGAACAAACATTAAACATTGGGTTTGAAGATGTGGAGATATTTGGTGGCTGTGAGAACTCTTTGGACAAA